CTTCTCCCGAATTTTTGCATTAACCCTTCTCACTTCAATGTCTTTCAGCGCATAACACTTTCTTATGTTTTAATAAAACTATCTTTCGTTTTATCGAGACAACGACAAATCGTATTATAATCGTCCTTGTCTTATATTCTCTGCTTCTTTTGACTTCCTAGTTTTTTTTTTTTTTTTTTTTACTTCTCTTCCACTCTCTACTTGACTTTTCCAGTACCCATCTAGAGTGGGGTTAAAACTAAGTGACAAGGTTTCTCCAGACAAATAAACTGGCTCGAATTAAAAAAAAATAGCATTGGCTCCGCTGGGTGATCTTATTCCAGTCAACAGAGAATACAACCCCATTAAAAGCTATAATCACTAGCTGGTTGACTGATGGTTTTGGTCTCCCTTCCTGCTCTGGGCAGTATATTTTATTTTTATTTTTCTCTTCAACCACAGATCCATTTTTATTGCAGCTATAAAAACAGGTATAAATCGAGCTATGTACGGTGAGGAATTATATGCTATTCAACGTCATCGAAAGGTTAACATTTCATACTCTAATGGGGATCATTGGTTTAAATAGAGTTGTATATACAAGGGAATTGTTTTTAAGCTTTGCTTTTCCCGGTTCCAAGAAGAAAAAAAAAGCGTCATAGGAAAACAAATGCCCAAATATTTGGTTTAGGCTTGGTACATTTTAGGTAGATATCTATTTTTAGAATTAAACTAACAGATGAAAAGTCGGTTAAGTAGAATGACACAGAATAGTGGTTCCATTCATCCTTATAATCATATTATAAATCAAAACCCGTGCTAAAAACGTATTTCCTAAAAACTAAAATATTTGATTGTACTCGGAGAGAATTCGGTTGCCATTATAGCCGTCATTTGAAATATGCGATGCCAGTCATAAGGTTTGTAGAGGACCGTGGCTGTTATGTTGTTGACTAGACGTAGAAAAACACGTGTGGGTTCAGATTTTTCCTGCTCGCCGGCCCAACTACATGAAAAGGTTGGACTTGAATTAAGTCCAAAGAAGAAGGCAATAATAACACACACAAATATATATATATATATGTGTGTGTGTGTGTGTGGTTTTTAACCGACGCGTTTCGTACAATGTGGACTTTTTCAATGCAAAAAATGAAATGAATAAATTGAAATAATATATAAAAAACAAAAAAAGGATGTCATTAGCAACTAGAAGAATTTAGAAAATTATTGTATGTTCATTTGATAATCTGAATAATTACGTCATTTACTTTTTATGTGTGAAGAGAATTTTTTCCACATGTTGACGGATTATACTTTTTTCTCTTGATTTCTTGATATATTTGATTTTAAAAGTGCCACACTCATAAAAAGAAAGTCTTTTTCTCAGAAGGAAAATTCTCGAGAGTGCTACCATTGAATATTATCCAAATATTAATCTACGCCTAAGTTTGTTTTTTTTTTTTTTTTTTTCGAATCGCAATTTTCTACGCGAATCACTAAAACTCGAAGCCAAAATGCACAACAAATGTACATTTCTGAACAGAAATTCACGCAAGGGAATGCAACAAATTCGACTGTAGTTCGAACTAGGCGCCTCGATTTCTCATGCTTAGCCGCAATCGATTACACTATCTGGACGTACACCAAATCCGCCCATTTTTTCATCCATTCACAGGGTGGTCTGGAAGTCTTGTCACACATACTACATAATAATGAAAGCAATATAAATATTTCTGAAGTCATTTCGAACATCCTCCATGCTCTTTCTAGAATGCACATGATCATGTGTCCATAAACTTGAAAGCAGCCTCTCTTCTAAACTGTAGAATCTCGCGTCACTCATCTGAAATAAAAAAAAGTTATATTATCGAGGGGTGACAAGACTTTCGGATTATACAATACATAGGAAAATAAAAGAAATAGCTTCGAAGTTGATTGTTTGCCGAATCTTGCAGTGAAGTCATGTCGAACATCCTCTATACTCTTGCTAGAATGCACATGATCAGGTGTCCATACATTTGCAAACAGCCTCTCTAATCTGTAGGAACTCGTGTCAGTCATCTGAAATAGAATGTTATATTATATAGGGGAGATTTTCGGACTACCCTTTATGTATTATTGTTCGGAATATAATGTTCGATTTTAGAAAAAAACTCGTAACTGCAACTATTCAAATAGCTGCACAAAATATATTACACATTCCTAATGATTAAAATATCCTCTTTGTTAATTTAATATCGATCTATTTAGAATTTAACTTAGGTTGTTCGGAAAATAATGTCCGATTTTAGGATAAACCTTTTGTGTTCTAATAGTTATACAAAAAATAGATTACTCATTCTTGATTATAGTGTCCTCTTTGTTAATTTAATATCAATCTCTTTCAGGATTTAACTTAAATTGCATACTTCTCATCTTGAACATGAAAAAAAAAAGAGATGCGTTTATATTTTTTTCGTTAGGAGGTAAAGCTTGATTATAATGTTTCTCAAACTGCTGCAAACATTACCAGAGGATGAGGGAAACTATACAACCGTGATTGGACACTACGACGCTGGTTCCTGAAGTTCCGCAGTAGGGACACGAATCGTGGAGTTCAAAGTGGAACAGGACTTTTTGCATATGACAATCAACATCTTGGAAACACTAGCTGAATGAAACCGACGTCAACGTTTCAGAAACACTGTCTCAGATAATAGTTATCAGAATTCAAACAATATCGGACCATCACAAGAAAATAGGCATGGTGACGTACTATTTAACCTGTAGGTTAAGGAGGATGATGAATAATATAGTTATAACTTTCCTTAGTAAATTTGAGCCACGCACACAATGTTTAAATCAGGCAAATAGGAACCATATCTATCCCTTTTTGCTATCGAATTGCAAGGTTATTTATGATACAGCTATAAAAATTTGTGCGCCGAGAAATCTTTGAATGCAATTTTTGCATTAAAATAGATTCCACATGAAGTCGACCAGTCAAAGAGTTTGATATTTTTTAAGTCTGTTCGATGCTGCATCTCAGAAATTAGAATGATCCATTTTTTGTGGAATAATGAATTATCATGACAAATTGATCTTTTATGACAATCGTAAATTACCAGTTCAATGGATTGATTATATAAACGCACCTAAAGACTTTCCAAAA